GCTGGGATGTTCAGTAGACAACAGGGCAAGCAATTCCTCACTGTCCCTGGGCAAACCCATCCCAGGCTCCAGGGCAAACCCCGAGCGAGCAGTGGAGTCGGGCACCGGTTGTGGCTGCCGGGTCCCTGGCACCTCAGGGGGGTCCCATCCCATCTCAGCCACCGCTGGCAAGTGTCCCGGGGGTCCAGGGGAGGACGAGTGTGGTCTGAATGTGGGGTTGGAGCTTGGGTGCGTGAAAGCTCAGCCGTCCTTGCACACTGCAGGCCCTGCAAGTGGCAGCAACAGCACGGGGACAGTGAGGGGACTGTCCCTGGGAGACCAAAAGGAGCCCTTCAGCTGGGGGACCTCTGGGCACGGCCGGCACAGACCATCAGCCTCCACCCCAGAGGCTTCCAAAGCATCACTGGGACCACAACAGCAGAGTTCACATTAAGCAAAGGCAACTGAGGGAGGAAAATGAGGAACTGCTGGGGAACGGAGCGGCGCAGGGATCTGCGGGAGACAAAGAGAGCCCTCAAATACCTGTGTCTGCACAAACATCACCACTGGTTCCCAACTTCTGACTCAGACCTACGCACGGGCCAGATTTCTTATTCTGTAGGACAGTCCATTGTCCAGTTTGGCCACGCTCTGTGCCGGTTAACACCAAGCCCACGAGCTCTGTCCGAGCAGCACACATGGCACCCACTGCCTTCGGGAGGAGGAAGAAAAGGAACCGGAGAGGGCCTTGTGATGGCACTATTTTTAGCAGGTGCCAAGACACACTTCCAAATACTAAAGTGACCACTGTTACAGTAAATACACGACAGGCATTTAAAACCCCGGGCAGAGGCAGCAGCCGGGAGGAGCCAGCCCAGCACCACCGGGTGCTTCTGCTCCAGATGACTTTATGCTGGCGATGGCTGACCCTGGGGTTGTACGAGGGGTCTCTAAGGACTTCCCCAGGGCAGCACCCACCGCTCGACCCACAGGCAGCATTGCCGGGGGCAGGGGGGGTCCTGCCTGGCTCACGGTGCTGCTCCCCGAGCACGGGGCTCCTCTGGAAAACCGGGAGAGGCAGAACTTGCCCTCCTGAATCTTCACTTCCTGCTCCCTCCTGGGCGAGAACAGGTTTGAATTATTTTTGTCAGGTCTTAAAAAACAAAGCAAGATTACAGTCGTGAGCTACGACACCCTGCGCCTACCAAAAGGCTCCTGGTTTTGCCTGTGTCGGAGTAATGACATTTATTCAGGTTGTGATCTGTTTCTGAAATACAAACAGGCTTGGAAATATGAAAATCAGTCTTGAATGTATTGCTAATTAAGCAAAATAAAAACACCTCCGTGCACTATTTTTGCAGCATCTCAACGGGAACGTTCTTTCCTGGCTCATTCATACTTGTCAGGCTGTTGCCTCTTTTTAAAAAGCCCACTGAACTGTGCTTTTCAGTATCCACACCTACAAGTCGATTTTTTAGTGTAAGCACAATGAACTCGCTTCATTTTTGGCTGGGGGAAAAAAAAACCAAACCCAAAACTTATCTGAGTTGAAGAAAACCCATCTTGCTTCTGTGTAGGGGGGTAGCTCTGTGCAGGAAGGCAAGGCACAGGCACAGGAAAAAAACCCAAGCAAATTAGGGGTCAGGCTCTGCAAGTGAAAAGTAACACTTTTTCGTTATCATCTCAAGCCCAGACACTCTGTAAGGACAAATCAGCACAAGCAGAGATACAATCTGGACCTGTGAGCAGAGAGGAACATCCAAAGCATGTAAATCAAGGTCCTATAGACGCATCTTATGGCTCAAGATTATACATCTTCCTTCAAGGACTGAGAGCCCAATGGCTGCGCTTCTCTCACAACTATTCAAGCGAAAATAACTCAGCCCTGATGTGCTGCCGGCGGCGCGATGCTCAGCTGATGCTCGAGTGCCATCTGCTGCTCTCCCACTGCTCCCAGCAGCTCCAAGTAGGGATGGGCACCCGAGCAACATGTTTCACTCACTCCAGCTTCACCTGGGAGCTGAAGGTCCCTATTTTTATGCTTGATATTGGGGCCAAACACTGGTGGTCTCCTGGGGGAGGAACTGGAGCTGGGGGTGTGAAGGGGACAGGGCAGGTACAAAGGAAACCAACCCCAAACCAACTTCTCTCCGCTGTGACTCTTTCCTCACTCATTTGTGGTTGTTTTTCTGGCCTCAGCAAGTGTCTGGGGGCAGGACTGGACCAGACCACTACAGCCCTTCATGCTGCTGTTCCTCGCCCTGTAGCAGTGTACGACACACCGGTTTATGCCACGTTGCCTGCCCTGGCAGCAGAGAGGTGGTATTTTAACAGTCAGCAGAATTAGAGCCATGGACTTCACAAGGTAGCTCAGCTCACCTCAGCCCAGCTCCTCGCCCTCTGTGAGTCCCTGGGAAATGGGGGAAAGACCTGACATGTTTCCCAATGGGATTTTGTCATCTCCTCTGGGCACTGGCTGCCAGCAAGGAGATGTCTGTGGCAAAGCTTAGGGCCAGCTGCTCCCGCAGAGCTTAGCAGGAGGACGTGATAGAACCAAGAGATGCTTTTGTTGCTCTCTCCCACTACAAAGCAAAGAGCATCTCGAGGGGGGCAGAGAAGGGGTTTAGGTGCACTTGGAGAGAGACGCAGACACCCTGGACCCAGAGAGCACAGAGCAGAGAAACCCAGATCCACAAATTACTCTGCAAGTGCTGTTTTCCAGAAATGAGGGCACCTCACTTGAAACAATATGAAATGTCTCGTCAGCATCCTTGAATCCCAGCTGAGGGGCTCAGGTACAAAAAAAGAACATCACACACAATACACTGAGTTATGAAGCTGGGACATGAACTGCACAAACCAGCAAGTCCTTTTGATCCATTTTCCCCTCTCCCAGGGGAAGGTTGGAACCTCAGTGCAATCATGGCAACAGCACAACCCCTGTCATCTCCTCCCACCCCCTTTTTTAGGCACCAAAACACACACCTGGGGATCAGCAGCAGCTCTTCCATGCTCTGGATTCGGCAAAAGCTTCAGGCAGATGTTGAATGCAGAAAAGGCACTGTAGGGCTGGAAAAGGTCCGGGGCTGGGTGTCAGGGAGGACGTATGGTACCCACCAACTCCAAGAGAGGAGCTCAACAGACCTCGGATGCTTCAGCCTGGAACAGAGACAGGTGAGAGGAGAGAAGTCCATAAACTCCCAGGCAGCATGGACGAGCCCAAGCGAGGGCCATTACTCACCTTTCCGCAGGATCAGGATGATGGATTAGCCAGGGATGCTTTCAGGCAATTTAGAAAACAAACAGGAAGCACTTTTTTCACCCACACGTAATTAAGTTGTGGGACATATTGCCACAGGATGTCGTGAAGGTCAGAAGGACAAATGGACTCCAAACGCCATTACACACGTTCTCCAGAGGTAGTTTATATGTGTCTATTAAGTGCAGCACCACGTGTGGTGTTTGGCTCACGAGTCCCTGTGCTGCTCATGGCTGGAACCTGTGAGTGTTGGGGCAAAACTGCTGTTGGGGATCCCTCTGTTGCACCTTTTCCCCAAGTTACCTGCACTGCCAGAGCGGGTACGGGCCCGGCAGACCTTCAGTCCTGTCACTGGGATGGGCAGGCCCACGCTGCAGAGCCCCAGCACTTCTGCCTCACAAGAACCATTCACATTTTCCCTGGCAAAAAGCCCGAGCCCTGAGACTCTCCCCAAGTGCCATCATCCCCCCCAACTGCTCAAGGCAGCAAGAATTTTTCCCTCTTGCTTTGCAGAGTGGTTGGTTTTCCTTTTGAAGGGGGTGGGGAAGGAGGGGGGAGAGGAAGCAGAGGGGGCTGAAGCCAACACAGAGTCCCTGAGGCAATAAACTAAATGCAAGACACGTGTTCTTGACTTCCAGCTCCACAGCCTCCGACAGGCAGCACCGGGCCAGGACCTGACAGATTTGCGTGACACAGCAGAATGAAAATAAAAATAAAGGTTGTATCTGATTTTTTTCTTTTTTTTCTTTTCAGCAAAAAATGCACTGGCAACGAGGTTTCCACCCTCGGAGGGCAGAGGCAGGTTATGCCACATACGTGGCTGCGAGGGGTGAGGAGCTGAAGGGCTCCTCATCCCAGTCAGACAGGGGCACCATTATTCTCCTTCTGCTCCAAAAACACCCTCTCTGCTCCTCCCCTCCTCCACTGAGGAGCCTTTCAGTCTGTGTGCCCCAAGGAAAATCTGCCTGGGGCTTTCCCCAAGGACTGGCCCCGGCAGGAAGGTGCTGCTGTGGGCAGGATGGGGGGCAGAGGAAGCCCCCCTCGTCCCAGGGCAGAGCCAGAGCTCTGGGCTTCCCGGGGCTGCTCCGGGGGAACGCCAGAGCACAGCCAGCAGGATGCTCTCCAGCAGGAAGTTATAAATTAAGCATCTCCAGAGACCTCATTCATTTCACCCGTAATAAAATTACCACTTTTCAAAGGGGAAAGCCCCTTTGAATGGCTTCAGAGGAACTAACCCCGCGGGACGGCTCAGCTCAGACACACGTACGCTCAGCCCCGGCTCCGCAGCCAAGGATTAGGGAGCTGCCGGTGTCACCAGCGGTGCCACCCCTTCGGGACCCCCCCTGCCACGTCCCCGAGGTCTGGGGGGGCACAAAACACTGCTGCTGCATCTCAGAAAGGAAGCCACAAACACAACTCACTCCTTTCAACCTCCCCTGCTCCTCTTGTGCCCCGTGCCTTTTCCCCTGCTCTTTTCCAAGCAGCCCATATCCAACTCAGATGGGACCAAAGGGGCATCCCGAGTAAATTAATCCCACAAACATCCAACAGTTCGAACCAGCGCTCAGACTAAGGCTTTCTAATAAGCCATTCATCACAAAAAGAAACCCAGTTTTCAGTAGGAAGTAAAAGGAACCCCCAGGAGATCTGAAGCTTGACCCTTCTGCCATCAGGGTCCTCTCTCACCTGTGGATCCCACCGAGGTCCCTTCCCAGCCCCACGTGGCACGAGGTCAGGAAATGAAGGCTCTCAGTCAGCACAGTTTAAGACGGCTTAAAATTCGAGCTTTAATTGAAATGGAAAGAAACATTCCAAGAGGATATATGTTTTATAGATTTAACTGAGTTATCAAATTTAGTTTCCATTGGATGTTATTGCAAACATAAACATTAAATCATAAGCGCCGAATAGGAGAGAACTCAAAAAAAAAAAAAAGAAGGCTATAACCATACCATATCAGAAGGGATTGGACCAAATGCTTTTGTAGGCAACTATCCAAATGTATGATGCACTGACATGTTAGCTCACAGGATGTAAAGACATCCTTGAGTACACCTGAAAAAAATTCTGGGGACTGACTACATCAACATTCTTCTGGCAAATATCTTCTCTGCCAGCAATAAATCCCAGCTCAATACATATCTAAAATGATATACATTAGAGGGCATCTGTTTAAGAGTATTAAGTCATCTTAAATTACTTGAGCAAAATTTTAAATATGTGATAGAAATCTAAAAAGGAGCGAAAAAAAACTGCGAGAGAGAACACCACTGCAATATTAATGCCAAGTTGTTTTTTTTTTCTTTTTTTCTTTTAAACAGATCTGTACAGCAACATAGCAAAGAATGCAGTGATCCCAACTCAAGCCAGACAGCGATCTACGGGAATGCCGATCCTGTGTACAGCAGAGCTGAAACACTCCCAACACCCCAGATGCTCCAAATATGTCAGCTACCCTAATACACTCCAAACCGGTTCTACCTACATAGGACATTTTGGTGTGAAAAAAATTCTGTAAAGTTCCCTTTGTTTCCAGTGATTTTCTTGTACAAAATATTACAACGCTTTTTTTTTTTATATATATTTACAGACTTGCACAGCTAGAAAAATATAAACTACAATTGGGCTTGGCAATCAGTTCTTTTCTTTAAATACATGACATTTCAGAGAAAAAAATTGTAGTGGTAACACATCCTGCACTTCAAGCACCTGCACGGAGAAGCTTTCTTCCTTAAGCATATCGAGCCTAAAACCCATGACTGCAGTGAGACATGTGCCACAGTAAGTGCAACGAATGCAATTCATCTACCTCCTGGCGTAAGGAAGACACAAGATGAATGTTGTTTGTGCAGGTTAGTGGCACAATGTAGAAAAAATCCATAACTGAACATTAAATTCCTTAATAACATTCATTAATTTCATAGGCAGAGCCTGTTAAAAAGGGAAAACCGATATAACTTTTAGGAAAAGCAGACGTACGATACCCTACGAACTTAGCATCTTGAATGAAAATGCAACCACAGTTAAGGTTTCAGGGGCATTTGCCAGCTTCGAGCCAGCCCCAAGGTTTTAAGTTTTTTTTCCCCAGTCAACTTTTGAGCAGAGGCCAGGTAGGAATATATTTTTTTTTTGCTTTTAAAGCTACAGTATCTGTCATTATGGCTTTTAACACCCCGCCTATCGCTGAGATGAGGTATGAGTTTCTAGTGAAATGGTAACAGTTGAGCAAAACGAGTTTCAATGGACCACACAACTCCGCACACTGGTGTAAACAGGTCTTCTCGCAAGAGGTTGCCAAACCGAATTGTAACAGTGCAAAACAAGGGTTATTCTTTTGCTTTTCTCTGCAGAAAGAGTTGTCGAGGCATCTAGGACACTGCTAGTAGTCGAGCCACTGAGCAAATCCTCTTTCCACCAGAGTTCTGTTTATTGACAGGACCTAGGAGGAGGTGAAAAAAAAAAAAACAGTAGGAAGGTGAAAAAATAACTAGCAAAAAACATTAGCAAGTTCCTAATCAACAGTAAAAAGTCTGCATAAACTCTAACAATGTTCAAAAAACAGGCATGTCAACATACACACCTCATCTCCCATCAAGTTCCACAGCTGTATCAGAGGCAGACCTGTCACGCTATCATAATTTGTGACCTGGAAAGATGGAAAAAAACATAGATATTTGGCAATTCCGGCCTGAGCATGGAGGACACGAGGCTGGCATGGCTCACTGCATACCAGAAGCTTCCTACTTCTTGTAGGCTGGAGGAAGTGTCCCTACACCCTGCAGGCAAGCTTGCTGCAGTCACTCAAACCCATGCCCTTGCTAGAATTGGTGCTGTGTTTGAGCACCGCGTTAAACCCAAGGAAGCCGTGAAATTGAGCACCACAAACATGATCAGCTTTCCCCACATCCCAATTAACTTACATGGATGGCTACAGCCACTAGGAGCAAAAAGAGGGAAGTGCCTCTTCATGGAGGCCAGGCACATGCAGAAGCCTCTGGGAGGCTGCCAGAAGCCTCACTTCTCTCCCAGGCCAGCCGGAGGCCAGGTCCCAATGTCAGTGTTGCACAGACTGTCAAAGCAGCACGAAGCCAGCCAAATACTTGATCTGCTGGACAAGAGGCCACTGTGTGCTCTGTAAACCCATCTGGGTGTCCTTCCTCCCTGCCCACATCAGTAACAAGAGGGAACCCTCAACCCTTCCCAGCCACAGAGCCCTGACCAGTGCTGACGCTACACAAAGAAGTTCTCGGTGCCAAGATTTCTCAACAAGAACCAGCAGCCAGGCTTACAGGCTCTGGCTTTAGCTTTGATTTTAGCACATGCAGAATGTTTTGGGGCAGAGGGGCCAACAGCAGCACTCAGACCAGCAGCCAGGCTTCTCCAGACAGCTCTCACCTACCTGCGCCACTAGGACTGCGCCTCTGGTCATCTCACTGACAGCGGCGTCCGCTTCCGATGAAAAGTGATCTTCATCTTTGGGAAGAAAAAGAGCAGGAGAAAACAAATGAGAGATTCACAGGCTTTAAAAGGCCAGAAGGGACTATTAAACTAATCTTGTCTGACCTCCACATAAGTTAGGCCAGGGAATCCTCACCTACCAGTGCTGTAGGCATTGGCTGAAACCAGTCTATTAAGCTGGAGATCACACAAGTATTAACGCCTGCTGTGCTGCCCAGGGGAAAGGATGAAGTGCTTTCTAAAGCCACTAGGCTAAATTAACGTGAACATAAGCGGCTGATGAATTAGGAGGCTTTGAAGACAGAAAAGTATACTTCTGCAGTAGCTTTGAGTAGCCATTAGTATTTTGATCCTTAATAAACTAAGCTCAGAGGCCTCAGGATGTTCCTGACCCTGCACGGTACTGTAAAGGGGAACTCAAAAGCATTGATAGCGCGGGCTGGGTGGCACCTCAGAGGGGCCAACATGCTCTTTGCAAGGACCAGCAACTCAACTCCTGCAGTTCACCATCCTGAGACCATCTCCAGCAGGAAACAAACTCCTTGCAACCCCACAAGTACCAGAGGAGGTCGATTACCCCAGGGAACATGCAAAACACTGACTTCTGCGAGAAGCAGCTTAAACCTTTCTACAGCTTCAGCAGGGTCTGTGCCTCCCAGAGCCCTGCCAGCCACAAACCTCCACAGGGAGACCTGGCCTGGCCACCACCTCCTACCACCACCCCTTCTTAGATACCAACACAGCAGGCATCTCTACAAGATGCTTAGAAAAGAGAAAAAAAGAAAAAAAAATAGCAAACCAGAAAGTACTTCTAGGCAGTGACTGACATTCTTCCAAGTGCTTGGAGGGTGGTCTTTTGAACACAGACCTATACACATCAGTCAATTCAGTAAGAAAATGTCAGTTTTATATCTGCTACACAAATATCTAAGTTTGCATTTACAGCTACTCTGTGACAGGAGGCAGCAGAGCAGTTACAGCTACTTCACCTATACCCTGCCAGTCCTGCCAGCCTGCTGCTTAGAAGAGTAATTCATTCTCTCTTCCATGCAGGAAAAAGCCTGGACATTTATCATCCTGCCCCTGGAGCCTGACAGATTATGCCACACTAGCACATTATAGAAAAAAAAAAATAATACAATTTTTCCAATCCTTGCTCCAGTCACATCAGAGGCTGCACTTGCAACAGGAGGGAGAAGGTTTAGCCAGAATCATTGCTTGTACACAGCTGGCATCCATTTAAACCTGCAGGAGGAGCGCCAGCGGCACCTCTCGAGAGCTCCATTACCTGGAAGTGGCACCACGTTGTCTAGTAAAACTTCTGCTCCTTGGAAAGGTAGTGATAAAAAATCAGACCTTAAAGAAAAGAGAATAAATCGGAATAAGAACAGGGCTTTAAGTTACTCCTGTATTCTTTAAAGCAACATTGATTAATCAATTGCTCCAAGTGGAATTCAGTTTGAAATTGATGACAGCTGAAGAAAAAAAACAAAACCAACAAACCATCCTGTTTTCCCAGCAATCTAAGCAGCAGCACTAAACTGGCTGAGTAGCACAGTAAGTTGGACTGGGCAGCAAGCAAAAACCACCTCCATAACGGAGCTGCTTTTCTCCCACTTATGGAGCATAATCAAGTATTTAATGGGCTTGTGTAAGTAAACCTCCACCCAATATGGCTCTCCCAGCTGCTGGGGCATAGAGCATCTGAATCTTATTGCTAGCTCATCAATTCACTACACTTTGGGGCCTCCTGAAGGCAGCTGAAGTGGCAGAAGCTGCAATTTTCTCTGTCCTGCCCTTCAAAAAAAGCCTTGCAAGAGTTTACTGTGCTCCCAAGGAATCCCCACCTGCTACAGACAGAAACTTTTCTACCATTTCCCACTTCAGCTGTGGAAAAACCCATAAGCCATTCAAACGATACGGATGCCTGTGATGAAGATTCAAGCCAGATATGGCCTCAGGTCACGGAAGAGGAGCTAGAGACCTGATTTGTCTGAGCGTGTCGACCTTCACTTTGTCGTATCCTCCATAGTCCACGTATCTGAGCTCCACTTCATTGGTCTCTTCGAAGTAGCTGACAACCTGAGCCCGTAACCATGCCCCATCCAGGCCTGGAGCTGCGCAGATAATACCAACTGCAGGACACAAGAGTACAGAGAAGAAATGCTCAGTATAAGTGGATTTCCCAATATCAGCGCTTCAGGCACTAGTAGCGCTGCACAGTTACCTATGGAGAATCAATAGCATCTCTTATGTTGCTTCCACCTTCTTTCAACACCACCCACACCCACATCATTCTAGGTCTGATACTGGGACACAGGAGAGGTGGGTTTTACTCCTAAGTCTGTCTGACACCACCCTGCTCTTCTACCCAGGTGCCCAGGTCTCTTCCGGCACTAACAGTGAGGTCTGGCTCTAAAAAGAAAAGTAAGTGCCAATAACACCCTTCCAAGTGATGCCCCCTCCTCTCTACATCACGTGTGGAGAGCGGCACTAGGAAGACCTGGGAGTAGTTCCTCACTTTGTCAGCAAAAATACAGCAGATGCCAAGTTGATTAGAAATAACCCAAGACGGACTTTATCTCATTCTGAATTTCAACATGCAACTAAGCACCTGGGGAGGTTCTCCAGGGATGAGTGGGGTGAGGAAGAGCAGAGCGACACCTGTACTATGCCAGTGGCTTAAAAGAAGATAAAACGACCAGTGAACTATCACATTCTCATCCACTGGGAAGCTTCCCAGGCCTAACTCAGGGGCATCAGGCTTTTAAATGACCCTAGAAGTTTCTCAACTGAACAATCCGTGAGCAACCAAGTGACTTGCCTTCTACTGGAGTTGGCAGGGTTGGAATTTCAGGCTGAGAATAGCAGGCATACATCTGCTGGTCGAGGCTCCGCAGGACGTGGAAGGTGGGGTGTGTGTGCTGCTGCAGAAACATGTGTCCTGCGTCGACCTGGTTCGCCACCACCACCTCCACAGTGACTCCATCTGGCAGGAAGAGCTGTCCCACAGACAAAAGACACTCTCATTAGCATTCATCAAAACACAAGCTTCACTCACAGCAACTCCACATTCCACCAGCAACTCCTGAGGCTTACAGCCAGGGGTGGAAAAGCCCTGGCACTCTGGTATTTCCCTCCCAAAGGCTGCTTTGGATTAGGAGCAGAAAAGCTACTCACTGTTACTCTATCCTGTTCTAATGGAAATCAGACTTGGGGTGGGACCCCCTTGTACACAAAAAGATGATGGGCACAGGGCACCTGTTAAGACTTATTTACCCAAGAGATGAGCAAGCAGAGTCAGAAATGATACGGGTCAAGTCATGCTGCACTGTCAACACAGTGCACCTTGCATGGATTCTCTGCCCACCAGGGTTTTTAAACATCACGGTAATCTTCGCAAGGATCATCCAAGATCTGTCACAGAGGCCTCATTCTCAAAGTAATTTGCCCTGGCTGCCAGAAAGCCATTGTGTTGGGCAGCATCCAAGCATTACTGTGCTCAGAATACACCTAAAACACCTTTAATTTCCCAGCATAAATTCACTTCTTCAGAACAAAGCCTGTCTTCACACCCACAGAGACAGCCGCGTGCACAGTTAATTTATAGATTTGAGATGCCCAGAGTAAGCAAAGAAATGTGGGTCAGTGTCTTCTCCCAAGTAAGAAGTGATAGGACGAGAGGAAATGGCCTCAAGTTCTGTCACAGAGGCCTCATTCTCAAAGTAATTTGCCCTGGCTGCCAGAAAGCCATTGTGTTGGGCAGCATCCAAGCATTACTGTGCTCAGAATACACCTAAAACACCTTTAATTTCCCAGCATAAATTCACTTCTTCAGAACAAAGCCTGTCTTCACACCCACAGAGACAGCCGCGTGCACAGTTAATTTATAGATTTGAGATGCCCAGAGTAAGCAAAGAAATGTGGGTCAGTGTCTTCTCCCAAGTAAGAAGTGATAGGACGAGAGGAAATGGCCTCAAGTTGTGCCAGGGGACATTTCAATTGGGTATTAGGAAAAAATTATTCACCAAAAGGGTTGTCAAGCATTGGAACAGGCTGCCCAGAGAAGTGGAGTTGCCATTCCTGGAGGTATTTAGAAGACAGGTAGATCTGGCACTGAGGGACATGGTTTAGCGGTGGACTTGGCCACGGAGGGACATGGTTTAGCAGTGGACTTGGCAGTGTTAGGTTAAACAGGGGGACTCGATGATCCCAAAGGTCTTTTCCAGCCTAAAAGGTTCCACGCTGCCACGGGGGGCAGGCAGCAACAGCCTCCCACCCTGCACCAGCACGGCCAGCAAGCTGGGACTTACCCAGGCAGTCATGAGGAGGGAATGAAGCGTCAACGGCGTTGGTGGAGGTAGAGCGTAGATGTTGGTGAGACACAGCTCTTTGAACTTCTTGCCAATCAGGCTCAGTACTTTTTCTACTTGATGCGAGGAGCCTGGGAGACAAAAAACCCCACAGAAAGTCTGTAGCCCAGACATGCTGAGGACACCTCCACCCCTGCCCCACAAAGCAATGCAGCTACCAAAAGCTGCTACAAAAACAATTTAAGTTTTAATAGACTGGCCTGGTAACTTTGTTTCAGACCAACACGAGCAACTCGACCAGCAGTTTCAACAGCTTTAGCCTCCAGTACGAAGCCAATTCACTGGCAGAAAAGTTTTGCCAAGCACTGGACTTGCAAAGCCACTAAATCCGTTTAAATTCCTTGCCCATCTAATTAAGGCCCCCAAGCTACATGTTAGACCACGAATAAAGAGACATTCCACTTACCCTCGATGTGACAGACTTGGGAGTCATGGAAATAAGGTAGTGTTGAGACATAAATTTTGGCACCAGACGCTTGCCTCAAGAAGCTCATAAATCTCCCCTGCTTGCCGATCAAGCGGCCAACTAATTCCTTTAAGAAAGGGACAAGAAAGCAAGTGTCAAGAAGAGAAATGTAGATCAAACAACAGCGTTCCCTGTGGCTTATTTCATCCACGGTCCCAGTTCCTGTAGCATTGGGCCAGGCAGGATAAATGTAAGGCCATGCTGGACTAGTGCAGAGCTCAGCTGTCCTGTGACAAGCCACGGTAGATGGAGATCGACGAGCACAGCTCGTTTTGATAGATCCATCTCCATATCTTGTAGAATGACACAAAGACACAAGGGGACAAAACCAGGCCTGGTAAACACTACTGCCTTCCTACAGTCAAGTCACATCATCTCCCAATCTCTCACCACTTTTTTTAAAAAAGCATATTACGTGCATTTTTTCATTCAAATATGAAATAGTAAATTCTAGCAATTTTTAAACATGCTAATGAGATTAGAAAGGGAGTAGACAAATTCACTCTCTCAACCCAAAAGAAAGCTCACTATTAAGACCAAAACACAGCCTCTCCACAGAACGGCTCAGATGAGCACTCAGCTTGTGAGGAAGGATTTGGACCTGCAGCTGAAACGTAACCCTCCTACACAGTGGGAAGAAAAAAAATAATTCATCACCTGCTCTTAATAACTGTGTACCCTCAAAACCTTCTGAGTGCTTTCAAAGCATCAGACTAACAGACTGGGGGAGAAGATAAAGGGGAATAACGAGTCCAACAACCAGTGTTACCCCGGACAGCCCTGAGATGCCCCTTGTTTACAGTCCTGTACTGGCTCTTCGCTCCTGCGGAGTCCTAACGGGAGCTAAATGCCCAAATCCTCTTTGATTTGTTGCTGATCTCCCTGGGGTGGCACTGGGCCAGTACCTGACTGGAAGAACCAGAAGATGGCTACGTAGGGCAGGGCAGGATGCACGAGCAGGCCGGTGGCCAGTTACCTTTGGGACCTCTATTTCCCAGATGACGAAGTCGGACTTGCTGGATTCTCCTCCCAACTTAGAGTTCTGGCGAGTCACCGTCTTCCTCAGGGCACAGCCACTGTCCACAAAATCCATGTTACTTACATCTGAACCTACAAGACACGCAGACATGTCAGCACTCAGACAATACACACGATCCAGGCACAACACCATGAAAATACATCATTTCATAGAGTTTACACCAAGCTCTTCCTGTGCATTCAGTTGGGATAGTCCTGTATCAGGTTCTCCAGTATTTTGGAAAGGGTGAAGTCCTGTCACATATAGCCTACTGAAAGTTTCCTTTTATTCCTGGAGAAAAACCTGCACACCCACCTCTGGGAACGCAACAGGAGAGCTATGCTACCATCAACACCAAGCTGCTGCTGTACCAAGGCATTTCACATATTCCCCGTGGTTCAAACAGGGTTTTTCACAGGCAGTTGATCATGCAGGGAGGGATACCTCATGTGCTCTTTCCACTGACATTACATCCCTGCCCCAGGGGCAGGTCCAGTGCTAGGGGTGCCCCCTACCAGTTCTTGTAGGGGATCATCTCTTGCCCAAACTTGTGACATGCTTGAAGAAACAAGGTGCCAGAGCCGATCTATGTTTTGTTCCCAAACCATGAGTCAATACCAGGAACATTTCTACTTGGGAAGGGGACAAACTCAAACAGCTTCCTCCTGGTCAGACCCCAGATACAGTCAGTGTAACATAAGGTTGATCCAGAATAACAAGCAGAAGCATGAAAAGCCTCACTTGTCTACAAGTATTCAGACCATCCAGCCCAAGACCAAAGAGAAGAAATAAACCCAACAGCTGCTTCACATTTGCCACATCTTCACTAGAAACACAGCAGAGATGCCCAGAAAGTCAAAGGCCGCACTGTTTGCCAGAGACCTCCTAGACAAGGATGAGGATCTAAGTCTCACTGCCTGGGTGTGAAGGTCAGCTGTAGGACCTCTTCTCCAACACAGCCACATTACCAACTTTACCTGCTATATCTCCCCTTCCTGTCCTTCAGCTGTCTCCATGCAGAGCTCTCAGCCCTTGTCACCACCAGGCTCCACGACACTCTTGTACCTTCTTGTCACACCAGCATTCACAACAAGGCAAAACCATTTTCTTCCCATGGTTATTCCCACTAGTGAAATTGTTTTGTGGGTTTAATCCTTAATTGCTGGGAAACTCAATCCCCGTGTCTTGCAATGAGCAGCATTCCAACTACTTTGTAGCAATTACAAGACAACCCATCATTAAGGGCTGTTGGCACCACAGGGTCCCATAAAGGATCTTAACATCCATGCCCAAGGTCATAAGGGTTAACATTTGCTCAGCCAGCACTGTATTCTGCCAGGCACACATCATCCAGCATCTAGAAGGCAAAAGCATCACAAGGACAGATGGGGGAACTCCATGAACACTACTCCCTGTTGGGATTCCTTGGCACACACCTACCCTTCCCAGCAAAAAGGCTTCAGGATAATTGGTCTGTGACCAACTGATTTTATCACAATTCATCAGAGCACTTCCCTGGTTCATCCAGCAGCACCTCAGAAACTTGCCTTGCAGCTTCCTTTCAGCAGCAGCCCATAAACACAGATAAGAACCCAGAGGCTGCCTGAACTGCAGCAGAAACCATTTGTATTAGCAGGTCTCAAACCAGCAAGGTGTTCAACATCCAGACATGGCCCATTTCACTGTGCTGCTCAAGTACATGCTTAGCTTTAGACAATAAGCTTTGTGTTGGAAGGGGACCAGCCCCTTCACTCCTCTGCTGTACACCCTTGAAGATCCCCCAGCTACCACTGGGTCCTACAGAGATGGGAACTCTGAGAGCTAACGCCTATCGCCTGCACACGAGGGCTAAATATTCATCTACCAGGGAAGTTAAACATGAAGAGGATTTATCCAAATGTGTTCTGAAGCAGACGGGTTATAGCACATAAAATGCTTGTTCAGGTTTTTGTAGGAGGATTTTTAAATGCCTTACCTCCTGAGTGTTCTCCATCCACCCCTGCTGCCCTGCTACACTCCTGAGACAGATCTGGACCATCCTCTTTCAGTATCCCATTGCTGTATGGCACTACACTGTCTTCAGGCAGCTTCGGAGTAGGCAGTTTTTCACTTGGTACTGAGCTCTGCTCAGCAGATGTGTCCTGGGTTGCAGATATGCTCAGCGAGTCCGAATGCTGGCCTGATGAGACAGACAGCATTGTGTTCTGCAATGGGTCCTCCACACTTGTCCCACCTTCCGATGTGTATGTGCTGCAACCAGAGTCCTCCATAACCAAAGATGACCTTTCCAGTGACTCTCCATGCTTTTCCACAGGAGTCCTATCAGCTCCTTGGGACTGACTGCACACCCGGTTCTTCTTCTGACAGTCTTTTGTGTCTCCCTGAACAGGGGCAGACAAACAGTTGTGTGTTAAACAGCCGGAACCCGTCACACACTGATGCTGTTCCTCTGTCTGCAGGGATGTCGGTCCCGCAGCATCGCTCTCTGCAGCCACGTTCTCATCTGCTCCCATGGCTTCCTCCACAGGCATCCCATCAGAGGAAACAACGCTCGCCGTCTCCAGAGGTCTCTCAGCTCGGCTGGCAGCAGTCTGGCAGATCCAACTGGACACATCACTCGCAGAACCAGACAGCACTTCCTCAGTTGCTGCCAAAATGACCTTGGAAATGATCTGTATCGCTACTTGCTCAATTTTCTCAACTTCTTCCTTGTCCAGACTCATTCCTTCAGTCTTCTCTCTTTCCAATTCATGTCCTTTTAGCTGTATGTCCTCCTCCTGACACACAGGTACAGTACTGGCAATTGACTCAGGCTTTTCCTCTTCCCTGGACCGCTCCACACAGGCAGACTCCAAACTATCCGGTAACACGCTCGCTGCAGAATCCTTGTGACTTAATACAACTTCGACTCCATTATTGAGAGAGGCTTGTGGGGTATTGGCTTCCTTCTCCAATCCCAAGCAAAGGGCTGTCACAGGGCCAGCATCTGATGGCACGATTTCTGGCATCTGGCTTTCCTTAGGGGGCTTAAATGAAGAATCATCTGACTGCTCTGCATGGCTGATCTCCTCCGTGATTCCCAAAGGCTCCTGTCTCGTCGCTGCTGGTCGCCGCTGATCTTGGTTTGCGCTAGAGCTCGAGCCCTGTGTAGGGCTCCTTGAGACCAGGGGGAGAGGAACACAAGCAGGGACACCGCTTTCATCTTGAGATCCTATCGTTTCTAGTTTTTCACTGTCGTCCTCGAGGGTGCTGGGCTGAGCTGTCGTGACTGACAGGTCTGGAAGGTCCTGTGACAGATCTGGCCTCTCCTGAGCCTGACACAGCAGAGAGGGCGTCGTGGGCCCTGCTGGCAGCAGGGAGGTCGCGGCTTTGTTCTGTGGGCATTCCTCTTCCGAGGAGAGAGGCAATCTTCGAGGAACGCACGCTTCTGTTTTGGGTGCTGATTCATTCGCTGGCACTTCCTCCTGCTGCTCTTCTTCAGTGGCTGGTGCTTGTTTGTCATGGTAGCCTGCATGCTTTTTTCTGTGGGAATAGATCCACCAGCAGCCGACCAGCGCCAGCACTCCAGGTATGGCATATAGGGTGAAGCTGCGGAAGCATAAAGCCATTTTGCAGAACCTCAGCAGTTGTACCTAGAGAGAGAAACAGAAACCATGTTAAAATAGTCACAGGGAAGGTACCAAGAAGGCTAAAGTTTCACAAATGCCTTGAGGTATTTCTGTTAGCATGAACAGAATAGAAATCCTGTTCTTTGTCTTGAACAGAGAGGATCCTATAAAGGATTTTAGCATCCATCCCAGGCTTGTCTTCCAGCTGCTCTTTAAAGTCACGTATCTGCTTTACCAGCAGCACATAGAACAAGATCCTTACCTAATCTCACTGTTACACTCACCAGCTTCACCCTGCTTCACCTTTACACTTAAACCAATTCCACCTCCTTTCTCCAGCCTCCCCTTTGCCGGTTGGTGCTACACACAAAGGCAGCACCCAGCACCCCAAGTCTCCCCAGCACCAGGCTGGGTTCACAGCACGGCTCTACCACAAGCCCTTCCAAGACACAGACTCGATTCGCTGCAATTCCCCGCTTGAAATCTCACATTCCTGAGACCTTCACAGGTTGACAACACACACCTCTCTAAACTACAATAGCCCACAGAAGGTGAAGTGCTTTGCAAATGTTCTCATCCAGAGCCCTGCCAGGGCTGGCGTGTGGGCACCCACAGAGGTCTGCAGTGCAGGAATTCCTGAACAAAGACCAACCACAGCCTGAGGGAGCAAGGGTCTCCCAATGACCAGAAGTCCCTCTAAAAATGTGTTGCAGTAGTGAAGATGGGAAATGTGCTATAACACCCTTATAATAGCGGTATTTGTCTAGCAAAAGCAGTCTTGGTAGAGACACTACTACTTAGGAACTCCAAAGTTTGTTCTAAATTTAAATCTACTACGTTGACAGTTGCTACTCCTCTGACCCTCTAGAGCTGAAAGCCATATCTCTTACTCTACTTACCCTTCCCTGCCTGGACATCACTAGAACCTGTGTCCCAGTCATGCTCCTCCATCTATAAACCTCACCTTGGTTACACAAGGCAGGGCTGACATGATTTCTCTTTTTCCTTCAGGAAAGTCTGCAGCTGGAACACAAAGCTAAAGAGTTACCCACGTCCCCAAAACAGCCTGGCTGCAAAGCACTTACAGTTTATGTTTTCACTGAGCAGGAATTAAAGCAAAGCACCACGTGTCTGACAATGCTTACACAGGACACGCTTTTCTCCAAACAGACCTCAAGACCTTTGCCAGTGAGCAACAAAAATAAAGATTGTTTTCAGGAGATAGCGAAGTCCTAGAAATGGGAACCACCCACTGGAAGAGAGCATTATCTAGTTCCTCTTTAGAAGCGTAATATTTCTTAGACAAGAGAAGACAATCAAGCCAGTCTCTCAACCCTGCTTAGTCTGTCTCAACCGGAAAAAACCTTTTGTTATCAGAGCAAACGTCGTGACCACAGTTCCCAAACACAACTCTCCTTCGGGGCCTTGATTTCCACCAGGAGCTGATTACATTCTAGCCGATGGACAAAAACATGCCTCCCCCAGGCTCCAACCAAGCACCCAAGCCTCAGATAATTTAATATTCACTCCAGATTTCGCACCTCCTCCGGCCACACCTTCCCATCCCACAGAAGCAAACACACAACTTTACCCAAGGCAGCTCGGGTGCCAGCCCTGCACAGCTGTAATGACCGAGGCAAGGAAATAAATGAGTGGCAAAAACAGGGACGAGGAAGTTTCTTGCTCAATCCCAAACCAAAGGTTAGCTGCAGACACGATTTAAGAAATCCAGTAACATCTCCAAGAGATCACAAATGAGATATTGATGTTGTTCTACACAGGAAACTTGAGTCTGTCTTCACTGGACGTTCATATGTGGTATCTTCTAAATCCGAGTTACTTTCCAGCTGCTCTGTACAGTCAGACAGGGGGGCTCACTGCTGAGGAGGAGCTGTTGGTTAATAGCAACACCTGAGATTTGGAATTAAAAAAAAAACAACAAGTCCTACGCAATAATTTGGATGTTTGGTTTTTGGAACTTGGTAAATGGCAAGGGGGAAGCCTGTAGATTCCCAAGACAAAAGGTTCACATTTATGCTCCCCAGCACAATGGCACATTGTGAGCCACTACGAGCGCTCATCTGCCCTCCGCTTAAGTTGTTATAATTAATGCAGAACCACCCTACAAGCTGTCTCACAGGCCTACCACAAACTCAAATTAAAGTAGCTCACATAGCCCATTCCCAGCAAGCTTCCCTGATTAAACAGACAGCCCTATTATTATCCCATTCCCTATTAAGCTGCCCCAACTGCACAAACAATGGTCCCACACAATTCTGCAGCGCAGGACGACAGGAGCAGGATGCTCCACAGAGGGACAGGCCTGTCCCCAAGCCTGGCAGACAAAACAGTTCTAAGAGTCATTTTAAACATTAATATAATTTAAGATAAAGTTCTTCACCCCTCTGTGATATTTAGATCAGTGGAGACTGGTTGATTATCTGACTGCTCCTTGTGCAGCTCTTTTAATTTCATGTTTTTAATTTGAGTAGTTTTATTAAAAGTTGCATTATACTATCAGTGATTGTGTTAAATGGGAATTCCACATCATTCCATCAACTAGAAAGGGATAAAAGGCAGTGACTCTGCACCAGATGCCAGCAGACACCCTAAAGCACCGGCTTGGCTTGGGGAGAGCTAACACCAACCAACATCTCACAACAGGAAGACTTTGGTGGCCTGATTTTGATCCACTGGTCACAATGTCACCTTTTATGCAATGCCTAGAAGTCAGCTGATTACTAACCTCCTCAACCGAACAGTTTTAAGACACAGCACATACTTTATTTCCTCCCCAGGAGAGCTCCTGAAGCCCACCTTTACTTTCCAACACATTGAAGAGTGACAAAGCCCTCTCTCCGCTGCCAGTTTGACAGCCAGCTCAGGACTGCAGGGGCAATGGGATCATTTAAACACGTGGTGGGGGAAGAAAGCCTGGGATTTTCCTGCCAGCAGCAGAAAAAAAAAAAAAAGAAAAAAAAAAAAAAAGAAAAAAAAAAAAAAAGAAAAAAAAAAAAAAAGAAAAAAAAAAAAAAAGAAAAAAAAAAAAAAAGAAAAAAAAAAAAAAAGAAAAAAAAAAAAAAAGAAAAAAAAAAAGAAATGGCATGTTGTCAAATCACATGGCTTTAAACACTGCCAAAGTGAAGGGAGCCTGGCCCAGCAGCCCCTGCAGGAGCCGCCAGCTGGGGACACGCAGCAGCTCCACGGGCTTTGGACCGGAGACGATGGGTTTGCAAGAGCCAGGACGGGTGAGACATGCTGGATGACCTGCTGCTGGTTCCCAACACGCAGGGCCCCCGTGCAGCCCCCCACCAAAAATAGAGCCAAGCTGGTGCAGAGCTCACAGACTGTACACGCTCTGCCCGCGCCAACCGGCCACTTCCACTTCCCTCTGGCACGTCGGGAATCCCGTCTAAATGTCACACCTTCTATCAAGGCAGGGCCGGGGAGCTGCGGCGAGGACACAAGACTTTTCCAACTCGCTAAATAATCCCCGCAGTAGGTCAGGATGGGATTAAGACACCAAGGGGAGAGTAGGGGTCAGTCAGCTTCTCCAAATCTGTATTCTGACTTGATTTATGGAAAACTCCCGGTAAAGATCAGGGAGACAAGGACAAGAATGAATGCACACACTCGCCTACCTTAAAAAAAAAAAAGCCAAGGACAGTGAATTTATTCTACTTGTTCGCATTAGGGCCCAAGAGCAGTTTTAAGCCACCTTGTTTCTCCAGCCAGGACAAACAACCCCTCAGTATACACATCCTTATAAGGTTAGAAATGTTTGCAGCACGAGGTCCGCAGAGAAGCCAGATAATTCATTCTCAAGGTCCGAGAGGAGAGTTCAATAAGTACTTGCTCCAGTTTTCAGGGCTTTCTACACACAAGGAGGTCTATTCTGGGGGCAAGCTGCTCCAAGTCTCTATGAGAAGAGAGTGACCCAGCCCCCAGGCTCTGCAGGGACAGACCCTTCAGTGCCACCGGTCCCTGCCTCCACTTCCCTCCTGCCCCAGCACTTGAGAGGTCAGGCTTCCAGGCTCTGAAAACACTGGAAATAGAGGCTGGAATTAAAGACCATCCTGAAGGACCGCAGATCAAACAAGCGGGCAGCTTAAGAGGAAAATGCAGCTTCCACACTGAGGCCAGGATGCCTCCCTACAAACCCTATAGTTAGCAGTACAGCACTTGGGAAATAAATACTATCTGGGTGAAAGAGAACTGGACAGGGCCGGCACAGTTAAAGCTAAATGGGACCACGTGGGCTCTTAAAATTTTCCATGCTAAAAATAACTGGCAGCACATGCTCTGCCTTATAGGAGGCATAAGACCGGGAGTTGACAAAAACCTAAAGAACTGGAGACCATACCTTGAAGATAAATCTAAAGAAGCGTGGCCAGCAGGGCAAGGAAGGTGACTCTCCCCCTCTACTCTGCTCTGGTGAGACTGTAAAAATGTGCTCAAATTCCCTTTTCTAAAGGTGTCCAAGGCCAGCTTTGAGCAACCTGGTCTAGTGGCAGAGGGGTTGGAACTTGATGATCTTTAAGGTCCCTTCCAACCCAAACCATTCTATGATTCTATAATGAAAAATAAGAGGAATTGTTGCACAGAAACAGAGACAGAAAGACTGACTCGACTTGCCGTTACATACAGCACACTCCTGATCACCAGGCTGTCCATCAACCACACCACTCTGCAGCCTTTCCCACACTCCTCTCCCAGGCCAACCTGGTGTTCCACCATCAAACCCAGTATAACCCAGTGGCAAGAGCTCAGAAAACAGGACTCAGGAGCTACAAACATCCAAAGACAGGCAGGAGCCAGGCAAGCAAGTTCTCAAACTGGATGGCACTTCTTTTAAAAATAAGTGAACAGGTACCTTTCTCTGTACTTAAATAATTAAAGGTAATGTACAGTTCTGCAGCAATTTCTGTTTCAGACACCAGTACTGAAAGAGAAGACCAGCAAGAGATACCCCTTAAGCAATATCACCTTTTAATATGGTTATAATAATATATATATGATCCAGTTAATATGGGCTACAGAGCCTAAGAAACAGGCTCCCCTGTGAATGAAAACTAATGAAGCCACTCCACAACCTTCAAATACTTAAGAACCAACAATCCTGTTTGCAGGGGGACAAATTATGACAGGAGTAAAAGGCCAAAAAAAGCTGGTTGTTGTAGAGCTCACCTAGAGCTCTGGAGCAAGAAACACCACAACACCAGGCTGCCTTTTATCTCTAAGATAAAAACTGCTTCCAGTGTAATCAGCTTCACTGATGTTCCTACAGCAGCTCACTCCCCTCCTCTGCAGCTGAAGCTGCTACATGATGGCCCAAGGCTTTACTAAAAGTACTTCATTTTACAGTTGCTGCTTCTGCGTATTTTCTCCCACTCAGGAGGCAAGCAGTGGCCCAGCAGAATCACTTACAGTTTCTATTTACAGACTCGAAAGCAGAGGTTTACAATAAAAGTATCAATCTGGCCAAACTGTAGGTTTGATTGTTGTTGGGTTGGTTGTTTTTGTTTATCTTTTTTCTACAGATGTTTTGGAAATCACCAAGAAGCTCATCCATATGCAAACACCCACCACTAACCCTCCCCACCTGCACAGCCCAATGGATTACTGCAAGGCCCTGAGCTAATCCCTCCTGCTAGGCAGCAACTCACAGGTTACACTTTGTAATTAACATTAACCCTATCAGATTATCAAGCTCCTCACTGCACTTTATATCTTATTACCTTCCTGTTCCAATTGTTCCATTATTTATAGTTTCCTCAACCGAGCCAGTGTCTCCCTGTGAATCCTCTGTTACAGAGGAAGGCAAGATCAATTTTACCTTCTGGGCAAAGCAGTGAATCTCAGAAACATGCTTGAAAAACCACTTTTGCACCACTTTACTGATACTCCCTTTGTCTTTCTTTTCTATTCCTTGAAATTTGGCAGGGGGTTGGGGGTTTTTTTTGCCAGTTTTGGAGTCCACTCCAGAAAGAGAGCCAGGCCAAATGTTCTGGGCTCTTCAGCCAAAAGAGTTTAGCACATAAGCCAGAGACCACACGACCCTTCTATTATCACCTGGCTTTAAACTGCAGAGAAAGTGCTCTGATGCAGGCTAACGCCCCCGCACACAGGTATCCCTGACCTGGGAATGAACACCACTTCTCACAGCCAAGAGGGCAAGACATCAGGCTTTGGGATCCTTTCTGAACAGCTACCTCCTCGACACACCTACCAGTTCAGATTCAATTCTTTTAAAACCATTTTTCATAGACTAAAGACAAAGAGTTCTCCATGGTACAGGTAAAGCAGCTTTTATTACCTTTATGATCTAGCAACACATTACAAAAAATTTCCCTAAATCCAGATTTTATAATCTTTTTTTCTTTCTGCATTTTCACTCAGGCTGGAGAACAGAACAAATTATTTTCCAGAATTTCAGAAAAAAATACATACAATACCTAGCTTCATTGGTATAGAAGCAAACACAAAATGCTAATGCAGCCCTTGCTGTGGGCAACATAGCGCAGCATCCATTACAGGTGCAGCTTATAAATTAAAATTTAAGAGCAACCAGCTATCAGTTTCCGCAAGAGAGGCATGCACAACACCCAGGAGCAGAGACTAAACTAACCAAAGGCTTCCAATACACTCTGCACACACAAGACAAAAAAAATAAAGACTTGAATTTTCAAGGAGACAGAACGGTGAGTTTTTCATCACAACACACTGATACCGCTGTAAGAGACAGCGAGAAGGGAAGCAGCACTGAGACAAAACAGGTATCTGGAGAACTGCTCCCTAGGAGGTTTAGACCTTGATAATCAGCTTCTCAAAACAAAAGCTGGACTAGAGTTAAACAGAAGAGCAAAAAGCCATGTTGTTCAGCTGGAAGCCTTGTGGCCAGAGCTTGGGCTGGCTGAGAACGAGCCACAGAGGGCACCTGAACATTTGTGAAGAAGGCACTCTGCATTTATCTGCACCAGGAAGGAACAGCAAAGGTTTCACTGAGAGTTACTTAGTCTGAACAAGCAGGAAGATAACTTGTAGGCATCTACGAGCTTGCTACAAGAAGTTACACAACATACTTGAGACCTAATCAGAGTGAGACATGTTTCACTTTGATCCAAATTACAGCAGCACCTGCAAGCCCTCTCCCAAATGACACTAGTTCTCCTACACATAAAGGCTTCCCCCAAAGATTGCAGGCTGCCTCCTCTCCTCAGCTTTGGCAGTCCTTTTTCTTTTAAAAAAAGCAAAGCCAAGACACAGGTTAAGTGACCTTCCCACAGTCACACTAAGTTGGAGGAAACACAAGGAATAGAAAATTGGTACCCCAACTCAAGAGACAAGAGCCTGTTCTCTTCACCAGGCAGCAAACAGAACACTACACTCCACTCAACTTGAAATATTTTAGGAAAGTGTTGTGCAAATTTCTTTCCTGCACCCCTGAACACCAAAAAAATCTTCCCTACCCTGCATTTCAAGAAGAAATGCAATACAAGTCCCAGCTCAGAACAAAAGAGGCTCCTCTTTAAGGAAGGGGAAACTGCAGGGTCACAGCCCTGAGATTTATGGGAATACATGCTCCAATTCTTGCTCAGATACTTCAAGTTTCCAATTCACAGATTTATCCCTATGCAAAGCGAATGCCCCCAGTACAAGAGACACATGCAGATCATGAGCTTTTGCCAGGAACTGCTGCTATTTATACGCAGGGAGTCAAAAATCAGCTGGAGCACATGGTAAGTTTCTCATCCTCATTGCCAGGTGGCAGCAGAGGTCAAAGGCAATCAGGACCTCTTCAGGTCTGCAGTGATTTGTTTGCTGAAGAATGATTTTACATGATCTTTCATGAAATATTCAACTCTGCTAGTAGTAACATACAGGGCCCATAAATTCAGCATCAGCTTCCAGCCAAGGTACAAAATGCAGAAGCAGTAAAGTTAAACAGAATCCAGTAGTGGACAATAAAAAAAAACCCCAACACCTCAACAGTAAAACAGCTGAAGACAGATAATTTGCAGAAGCAGTGAGTGACATGCAAACATACCACCTTCAGCAATCCCCATGAGAAGCAAACTCAACAGCCTTAATTTCCAGGAAATATGAAGCGCCTGCTGAATAAAGCAGCTTCTTCCAAGTACCTGAAAGTGGCTGCCTGAAGTTAATCATCACTTCATGAAGTTTAACCAGCCATTTGCATTATAAGTTCCACAGAAGCACTATAGTTAGAAATCAGGATGTAAAAAAGGCTAGTCATTAGATCTGAAACATTAAAAAAAATAATCAAGAGTGATTAATGGTTTAATTAATGTTTTTTATTACTTCTAGATGTTGCTAAGGGCACCTGGGATACCAGCCCTGATCTTATTACAGTCTCCCCAGACACTAGAAATACCTTAAATAATTTTTTCAGATCAGTTAAGTGCACATGAAAGACAAGAGCCATAGATAAGTGGGGTATGTTGCTTTTAAAGCATTACGCTCTTCAGATAACTCTACTACAGCAAAAGTGTACTTGCTCCCAAACACCCCCAAAGCCAGATGCAATGTTTTCAAAATGAACACAGAAGTCTCAATGTAGCAATGAAGTGCTCTGGGCTCTGAACAGCTCTGGCTGCAATCCTCAAACAAACTCCTGTCACTGTTAACTCCCAAGAGAACTTGCAGGAACCGGGAACGCGGGTACCGTGGTGGATCTGAGCTGCACCTCCCTGGGTGGCAAGGGGAATTCCTGCTGTCTAATTTCAGGCGCTGTGGAATGTCTAGGTTAAAGCCAAGGCTTTCTAGGCATTTGGTGATTTTCAGTATTAGTAACTCAAAGCATCTCCAGAGACCTTTGAGAAGGAACCTGGTTCCTAGGACAGGTATCTAACCTCAGTGCGACTGAGGACACCTAAGAAGCAGCTCCCGGAACACACAATGGGGTTCCTGCAGCACCATCCCTGCAGTCCTTCCAAACTAATACCATTTGCTGCCTTTCTGAGAGCAAACGACCTGCAACCCTGTTGTACAAGAGACTGAGAGTCACCTGCCTAAATATGCCAGCACCAGCATCCCATTAGAGCTTTTAAAAGTCCTTTTAGAGCTCACAGAAACACCAAAACAGAAGCTGAGGGACTGTCAGAGCAGAGGTCCCAGGACAGCAAGAGATGCAATAAGGTGGATTTTAGCAAGCTTCCAGCACAGCCCAAGTTCTACAGGCTTCTTGATCCTTTTAACTTACTAAAAGGTTGTAATTTCCTTCAGTGCACTAGGCAGCACAAGCAAGCAAACCAAGTAGTCAAGAACTAAACCGAGCCACCAAGCTACACGCAGTAAAGTTGCGCTATCCTTTTGCAGAACCACAGGAAGGTTGAGATCACCAGACGACAGGTACAGCAGCTCAGCAGATGCCTGCACAGGATTCCACCCTTTGTGCAGGGAGCTCATTAAAAAGTGAGGAGGTTAAATGACTTGAACTGGGTCACACAGTGACCCCCGGCAGAGGAGCAAGCTCAGCTCTGTTGCTCTGACAGCTCTGGTCCATGTGCTACCAAGCAAAAGCCATACCTCCCTCAGGAGCCACGCCGCGCTCCGGTGTGCCACACGCTCTGTCTTGGCTACACCGCACGCACGCAGGGCTGGAGCTCAGTAGATCATTCACAGGCACAGAGCAAACAGGAGAAAAGTAAAGTTACCATCTCCTGCTACTACTTTCCCCGGCAACAAGCAATTTCCTTTCACCTGAGACAAAGTCCACAGAGGCTCCGATAACGCTCAGCAGGTGCTAGCGCAACCGCCGGCCTGGCCACCGCAGCTCATGACCCTGCAAACACAGAAAGGCACAATTACCACAGCCCCCTGCTCCTCCATAACAGACAGACCGAGCTCCAATGCAGCTTTTGTTGCTGTTTCCTATTAACACAGACACCTTGCAGGCAGAGGATGCCCTGACTGGTGACAGCTGACTCGTGTGGTGCTCCCTGCTCCATGGATAGCTTACTGACCGCGATAAAGAACTTGCCCAGACACAGATCAAGTTGCCCAGTTCTGGAACACGAGTAACTTAGATCTTATGTGCTTTAAGGAGGGGGAAGAAAAAAAAAAAAGAAATAATCAAACAACAAGGATTCTTCCAGGAGAGCGAGGCTAGCAAAACATTTACTTCCTCAGTGGCAATATAATTTAACTGCTTTGCTCCTGATTATATCCCACACTGGCTTGCAAACAAGCGGCAGTCACTGCAACACATGAAGTTTGCTAATGACGGTTTTTATCAGCTATTACCATAACGCAGCCACTCCAGAGGCACAAGAGGCAACTCAAGGCATCTGTAACCCTTACTGCCCGGTCTGCAGCGCCTCTGCCACCCCTCGCCGTGGGTTCTGAGCACCTACAGCAGGGTTTGCAGCGGGAATGAATCACCTATAATAGCACCTCGCCCGGCTCCAGTCTCTCCCGGGAACGCGCTTCGCCGCGGCCGGGGGGGCCGGGACCGGCCAAAGACACTAAAAGCGCTGCGGAGTCTCAGCACCGCCGCGGCCCAGACCCCGGAGCCCTCCCGCCCCGCACCAGGCCACGGCACCCCCGCCTTTCCCAGCCCACCGGGGCCGCTCGGCGGCCGCAGCCC